ATATTTTCCAATTTCAACATAACTTATTCGAAGAAATTTTTACGCGTGGAGTTCGGACGGGAGAACCATCCTAATTTTGTGAGGGTACACAACAAATATAATATAAAAAGTAAAACTGTGGACTCTCATAGAGTCCAGACAGTTCTCCACATGTAATAATCTCTAGTCCGGACTCCACACGTAATAATCTCTCACTTATTCGACTCAAAATGTCTTGCTGCATTGCAACTTGCAAATGCTACAAGATGGCTTTCTTTGTGAAAGGTTGACTGCTTTGGATCCTGAGGAAAAAAAGAAAAAAACAAAAGGATTAGAAAAAGGAAGGCTAAAGTAAAGATAGAGATGCTGCATGCATTATTGCCCGAGGACTTATTGAGTAGAAAATAAATAATTATGCGCACTTCAAACTGGTGTTGACCACCAAATAATTTAAGAAAAAGGTTGCAAAGGAATGTGATTGGGGATATTCTACTTTCAAATTTAGACAGAAGCTAAGCAACCCTTCTGTCGTATTTAATTTAAACTTATTTTATTTAATAATTCTCATTTAGTCTCAGAGTATCACGTTGCTCTAATTTAATCTCTCAGCCATGCAAAATCGATCCAAACTAACCCCTCATATTATAATTGTGATATGAAATTGATCATAATTTAGTCTCAAAGAGACTACAGTTGAGAGAGTAAATTGGAGCAATGATATACTTTGAGATTCGATTTGTCATATTTGAATAATCAGGAGATTATTTTGAAATTTAATATATTATACATCAAAGAACTAATAAATATATACTATGGATTATCTGCAGATACTGTAATAATTGTGGAGATATAGTTTCTACCTTCCATTTGTTTCTTTTATTTATTTTGGACATTTGTGATGAATTCCACTGAAATTCAAAGTAGTTTTAAAAGAGAGTGGGATATTAGATTCATCTATTATAATGTTGGTGTTGCATTGACATTTGTCACGTTCCTCATAAATAAAGTGTTATTTGTTCACCAATTATATGCATCATCGACAAATACGACAAGCAAAACTATGGAAAAATCATCCAATACCAACGAAAATTTTCGGCGGTTAAAACCCCGCAAGAAAAATCACGTAGGAAATTGAAACCGATAATCCTTTTTCGGCGGTGATATCTGCTGGAGGTTTTCTGGCGGCTATAATTAACCACCGAAAATTTCTGACGCCAAGACCGCAGGTAAACCGCAGGAAATTACCGACGGTCAAACCGCTATTTATTTTTTGGCGGCCGAATAGCCGCCAGTAATTACTGGAAATTTCGGCTGTCAAAGTGCTCGTATAACCCCCGCTTTGTACCCAGTGGCGGAGCCAGAAAATATATTTAGGGGGGGGGGGCCTAAATTATATATATATTTCTAATTTTCTTTTAACTTTTTACATCCAGGCTTAGGACCAATATAATCAGTATTAAAAATGATAAAACTTTGATGGTGAATTAGTTTATTTTCTTCCTTCACAAAATGACTTCAATCATCAAATCACTCGATTTTTGCTAGAACATGTTTAATATATTAACTAAATACGTGATATTAAAAATATCATTGCACAAAAAAAAAATTATAAAATCTCTTTAAGATTGAATCAACATAGGATTAAGCTAATATCAATCAAGAAAAAAATATAAATGAATAGGAAATTAAATTGTGAGTGATTTGAATGGATGACCGATGTCAAATTTCTTGATCGTGGACCATTTATTGGGCATTTAAATGTCTTAGTGATATCAAAATTCAACGATCTTGGGCTCGTTGGATTCGTCTTGTCTAGCCACTCGATTCAACTATAAGCATGTTATGTTTGGAAATTGTTTGGTAATCCAAATTATGGTTTGAAACTTCCAAATATGTTTTGGGTCTTTGATTTGGAGTCATTTGGGTTCGGATTGAGTTGAATTTGGTGTCGTTAGGTTCGTATTTTCGAGACGTTCAGTTTGACTGTAAGTTTACTGAAATCGGAGTTCAAATGATCTCCGGTTTAATTTTTGAAGTTTCCAACTTGATTTTGTCTTGAGACTAATGATTATCACTATCTTTCCTTTATAAGTTCCTTTATCATACCTATATTGTATAACTGACGCTACTGATGAGAATGACAGATACGATTTATAATCAATAACAATCCAAAATTAAGACAATAACGACTGTAAAACTCATCTCTATCAATTTTGTATTAGAAAATTAATCCTCAACATAAGTACAAAGCTAATAAACATTAAATTTTAAAATATATACGAAAAGCATGTAAAAAAGGGAAACATATTAATTATTATATATTAATGCTAACAATAGTGACGTGCTCTGTATTGTCCTACAATAGCATATATTTTTAACTTGCAGCTAGGGGTGTCAATATTTGACATGACATGAAAACCTGATCCGAAGCCGATCCAGAAATTTCGGGTTGGACCCGACCCGATTTCAAAACGGGTCGAGTTCGGGTTCCCAAATTCGACCTGTTTGAAAAATGGGTTGGGTTTGGGTAGATGGGTTGCCGGGTCAACCTGAAAACCTGTTTAAAATGAGCTGCCCGTGCTGCCTGAGACTGCCCGAACCTGCCCCGGCTGCCCACACCTGCCGGCTGCCCACGCCTGCCAGCTGCACCCCGAGCCCAAGGCTGCCCCCGCACCTGCCCGCTTGCGCTAGCAAATGTCCGCGCTGCCACGTCTTCCCACTCGCATTCGCGCCCCCGTCCAGCTCGCAGCCGACCTTCCCAAGCGCCCGCCATTCCGCCGTCCCTCCGCCGCCATAAGCGGAACCGTGTCGGGTCAGGTCAACTCGGCAACACGACGGGTCGGGTCTGGGTCAAAATTTCTGACCCGTGTACATATCCGTGTCGGGTTAGGGTCGAGCCGTTTAAACCCGGGTTAGTTCCAGGTTCAACCCGAACTCGACTCGAAACCCGATTTTGACATCCCCACTTGCACCAATATAAATCCCCAATTATTTTCTACTAATATATAAACAATCAAGCCATAATATAACTTGAGTACTTGATGTATATCATTTTCATGAAAAAAGCATTAAACCAACATATACTCGGTAACTTAAAACAAAGATAAAACTAATGAAATTTCTAATAAGATATTTTCAATAGCAAAATGATAGCCCAATCATGTGCTATCTTTCTCATATCTACAAAAATTAATATCATTTTATCCATATTTTTTAAGTTAGAATTGATATCAAGTTTACTACTTGCAGAAAACATATATTGCATATTTGAATATGTTATTTTGATCGCAGTATATTTGTATATAGGCCTCTCATTTTTAGATAAATGTGTAAGATTATTATTTTTGGTAACCTTTTGAAACAGTTCTCTCTCATAATCATGGTTGCCCTGCAAATATATATATATATATATATACACTACTACAACTACTATATAAAAGTAGCTTGGGATTTCACCTATAACAAATCTTGAACGTTCATCTCTAAATTTAAAATTAATCTACAATGTTAATATATAACTCTTTAAATTCTATAATTTATCACTTCCTATATAAAAGTGGCTTGAGATTCCACCCATAGCAAATATTGATCTTTCATATCTAAATTTTAAATTAATATGCAGCGTCCATATATAACTCTTTAAATTCTATCATTTATCACTTTCGATAAAATATTTATTTATTCATTTATTTATTGTCATTATTATTCATTTATTTATGATTCCTTTTATTATTTTCTTTCATTTAAAGCTCTTCATGTTCTTAATTTATTTCATTGTCGTGGGTTTAATTTCAAATCCAAACTTTCTAAAAAACAAGCATTTCTATATTACACCTCGTCGTTCGACTGCAAATTCCCGCACGGTTAACCCTAGCTTATACATCTTACAGCCGAATGACTTCCGCAAGCTATCACACCGGGCGTCCGTTCTCCGTTCGTATTTACATTCCTGCCAATAACCCTAGCCGAATGCATACATCTTCCCACTGACCGACTTCTTTATCTCCTCCAGATCATTTCAAAGCTAACACACCCGAGCATTCCACTTCCAAATGCTGCAACAAGTTGTTTCACTTCCGCAACAACGCATGCATTTACACCCGATCGGTTACTTCTCCTTCCCAACCCTTCCAAAGCCTCTTGCCGCATTGACAAGGTACCTTCCCAAACACATGTCCATTTAAAAATCACTTCTTCTCACTTCTTTCGCTTTCTCACTCTTTGACACAGTATTGCTTCTTGCTCATCTCCCTCTCACCGAACACAACCCCTCATCCGTCTTTGTGTCTCGCCAAAACCATCAAAATTACTAATTAATAATAAAAATATAATAAATTAAAGGTCATGATTCAATCTGAATATATAGTTAAAATGAAAAACTAGGTTTTTATTTGAGAAGAAACTCAAGCGGCTTTTATAATAGTAATATAGAATTATTAATTGCTTTAATTTATTATATATTAGTATAGATTTATTAATTACTTTAAATTTTAAAATCGGAGACCGTTTGGTAACTCAAATTGCGGTTTGAACCTTCCAACAGCGCTTTGAACTCTTGATTCGGACTTATTTGGGCTCGGATTGGGTCGATCTTGGTGTTTTTGGGTTCGTATTTCCGAGACGCTTAGTTTGACTGTAAGATCGTTGAAATCGGAGTTCGGATGCTCCCGGATTTAATTTTTGAAGTCTCCAACTAGTTTTTGCCTCGAGATTCGTGCCTGATCAAGCTAATTTTGTGATGATGTATCAATTTTATTAAAATCTTAATTTATTTTAAATTAGAAATATAATTGTTGTTACACTTACTTGAAATGATAAATTTATTTCTTACCTATCTTTATAAAATATTTTGAATTAATTAAATAATATTTACAATTTTATAATATGAAGTAATTATTTAAATTTTATTAATATGTATTTAATGCGTGTACAATTATAGTAGTTATTAACAATTAGAAGATTTTGTTCCAGAAATGCGATATCCAGCACGAGTGCGGTTCTCCGTCCCCGCTCGCTATATAAAAGGTGAGCCTTCAGGACTTACGAACCCACTGGAAAGTGCAGTCGGTCTTCGCTCCAGCTTCTTCGGTCTCTCGACTTTGCAGCGAAGTTAACGACTGAGAAAAGATGCAGATATTTGTCAAAACTCTTACGGGGAAAACCATAACTCTCGAGGTTGAGAGCAGCGATACCATCGACAACGTCAAAGCCAAGATCCAGGTACGTTCCAATTTTTATTCTACTGGGCCCTCGATCTAGGGTTTGACAAACATGTTAGTATCGTAACGAATGAATTTATTTGTATCCCTTCTTGATCTGGAAGTACTTTTCGCCTTCTTTTATGCAGCCTAAGTGGTTGGGGCCTGTTTTCTGATCATGGTTGCACCTTTTCCTTTTTTACGTCGCATGTTTGAAATCGATTTCCTTACCTTTCTGGTTTTGGCAGGCTTTGCCTTTGCCATCTTCCGAATTTTTGGTTGGACTGTCATTAATAGTTTAATTGGGGATATAAATCCAATAGGGTTGCATAACTTGCACTTGGTTGATCGTTTGAAAGATTTCACTCCTTTTGCATTACAATAGAGTTTTAATTTATTTGTTGACATTCAAATGAACATAATTGAGGATTGGAGATTTACGATATATGAGCGGGCGGTTGTATGGAAATCACACGAGGGCTTCTTTTCGCCTTTATTTTTTTGGTCCTTATGGAGGTAGTATCTCGTCTGATATATGCCGTTCTTCAATGGAACCAAGTATTTCCTGTATACCCCATCTGAATACCGGTATTATGTAATGATCCTTCACCTGCAACAGCTGTAATTTGGGAATATTTCACTGGTAGATTGAAAAGGGGAAAATATTGTATGCTTTTCCATTGCAATAAGCTTTTCTATTTCTGAATATATTTGACCTACTTCATATCTCTCTAATAGATGAGGGTATATGTTTTAGAGTTAAGTCTATGTGGTCAAATGTAGAATTTTCCTAGTAATATAGAGTTCTATGCCATAAGAAAATATTATAGAGTTAAAGGAAAATTTTATATATTTGTTGCATCATGGAATATTCACGGCGATAGAGAAATATTAAGTTTTAACATCTTAGATTTGTATGAAGATCCAACACACAATCAGATAAAAGAGAAAGTTGAGTGTTCATAAGAGACTCTAGAGTTTTTACATGGAAACCCCTAAAAAGGGGAAAAACCATGGGGTCTGACCCAGTTTGAATGAATCCACTAGTGTTTGTAGTCGATTACAAATGAGGTCCTTCCTTGGGGGGAAGACCTTGACTTAATGTAGCAAATATACATCACATAGAGTGCATTACATGGTGGGAATTAAAAGAATTAGTATTGACATATTTGTTTAGTCGGTAGGATCATAGTTGGCGGGCGAAGAAGGTTGGAAAGATGGTAGTCGAGTGACGATGGTCAAAATGACCATAGATGGTGGGCGACGGAGGTCAGAAAGACCGTTGTTTGTTAACGGAGGTCAATAGGTTCGTAGTATGGGCGACGAAGCTCAGAAGGAGCGTAATCTGGCGACGGAGGTCGGAAGGACCGCAGTCGGTCGGCGGCCAACAGTGGTCAAAAAGACCGTTGTTTGGTGACGGAGATCGGAAGGACCATAATCTGGTGATGGAGGTTAGAAGGACAGTAGTTGGCAGACGACAGTGGTTAGAAAGACCGTTGTCCGGTGAGGAAGGTTGGAAAGTCGTAATCTGGCAACGAAGGTCAGAAGGACCATAGTCAGCATGAGATAATGGTCAGAAAGGTTATTATCTGGCGACGGAGGTTGGAAGGACCGTAGTCAGTAGGCGAAAGTGGTTAGAAAAATCGTTGTTTGGCGTCAGTTGTTGGGGGGAAGTCCGATGATAATCGATGGCAGGGAATAAGTTCGACGACCGTCGGTGGCTGGGCAAAAGTCTGGTGTCAGTCTATTGCCAGGCTGAAGTCCGGCGACGGTCGGTGGACGAAAAGGAGTTTGGTGGCAAAAGAACTCTCTCTATTTCTTCCTTATTTGCTTTTCTTCCCCTGCTTCCTCCCCCTTTCCATGAGCAATGAGGGGTCTATTTGTAGTTTTCTGATAGTGGCATATCCAGTCAATATGGAGGAGATCAAGGACATGTTGGGATTAGTTTGAATGGACGGCCAATATTGATCCCCTTGATCGTGGACTGTTTACTGGGCATTTAAATGTCTTAATGATATTAGAATTCAACGATCATGGGCTTGTTGGATTCGTCTTGTCGAGCCGCTCGATTCGACTATAAGCATGTCACATTTGGAAATCATTTGACCATCCAATTTGTGGTTTGAACTTTCCAAAAATGCTTCCAGTCTTTGATTTGGACCCATTTGGGCTCGAATTGAGTCGAATTTGGTGTCGTTGGGTTTGTCTTTTTGAGCAGTTCAGTTAGACTATAAGTTTGTTGAAATCGTAGCTCATATGGTCCCATATTTAATTTTGGAAGCTTCCAACTTGATTTTGCCTCAAGATTTGTGCCTGATCAAGATAATTTTTTGATGATATATCAATATTAATATTAGGCTAGATATGCTATATGGATGATGTGAAGTAAAAAAGTCTTTGATAAAAAAGTTGAACATGATGGATATGAGAACGTTATGATTTATTGTAGTTTGATCATGTTCGATGAGGGTTATGATGTACCAATAAGATATGTAGATAACATTAATATGGATTATTAAGAATGAAGATTGGCGGATTTGTGATAGCATGATTAAAAGTCTTGTATATATTGCAATCAATAAATTTTGTATCTCAAGTACACTCAAAATGAATGAATGTCTGAATGGAGAATGAGGATTCATGTGCCAACTCCAGATAGTTGGGATAAAGTTACTACTGATGATATGACTTTAATATCATTGAGGTTTGCAAATTTGGACCCTATGTCCTCAAAATGTTGTGTCTATTGGCTGGTAATAGCAAGGAGGAGGAAATGAATAAAATGACATAGATGAGATAGACAACGAAAAATAGAAGAAGAGGAAAAGGATAAAAAAATTGAGGCAATTTTTTTTTTATGTTTTTTTTCCCATACTTCAAACCCATCATAATACAAGTCTATATATAGTTGTTTGGAAATTTCTAGTTCAAGCATTAACAAATGACTTTTCATTTCTTAAAGTTTAGACTTTCAGACTTTAACCTCTAAATCTTTCCAATGTATCTTCAAACATCTAGAATAGGTTTATTTTCCAACACCCCTCCCCTTGAAATTTGTTCCTCCATTTACCATAACTCCAAGCATCTTCCTCTGGCATTGAAAAACTTCAACTTTAAGTGCTTTTTTAAACACATCAAGAACTTAATCATTTGTTGTACAGTGAAAAAGAGTTTCAATGTGCTTGGATCCTTCATGTAGAGGGTTTTTGGCTAAAGAAATTGTTGACTTCTTATCAACATAAATCTTTGTTGAAAGTTATTATTGTAGCTTAAGATACTAAAGTAATCTTTTTTATCCTTATAACATGGAAAACATAAGAAGTTGCAGTTATATATACTGCTTCACATGTTGATTCAACAACAGTAGATTGCTTCTTGGGAGACCATGCAAAAGCTGCATTAACTAGATAAAATACAAACTCAATAGTGCTCTTGCAATCATTGCTGCTTCCATATATTCACCATCACTGAATCCAACAAGATCCATCTTTTTTGTTGATGAATAAAGGAGACCATAAATGAGAATCATTGTGTGGCCACTTTCAAATGAGAATTCTTAAGGTTTTCATGTACTTGATGACCAATCTAACTACAAATATAATCTTAGGTTGGATGCATGTTTAAATTTTTTCATACATCCACCAAACTTTTGTAATAAGTTGGATTCACTAGTTTACCTTCTTTTGTCATTCCAATGCCATAGTCTATCAGGGTATCAACAAACTTACAATCTTCATTTTTTTAAATCTAAACCCCCTTTTTAAAATCTCATCAATCGGCCTAAGTTGAGAATTCCCAATGACTATAAAAGATTTTGATGAATCCTTCATATTTGGAGTTGTTTATTTAGTTTCCAAATGTGAAGTCAATGAGGCATGCCAATATACCCTTTGGACAAATTTTAATGGAGAGAATTTTGGTGTATTTTCTTGTATTTTTTCATCTGTATCTGCAACACTTCATTATTAGTTATTTAAACCCCCTTTTTTCATCTCTTGTATTTTTTCATCTCTTTATACAACACTTCATTGATTTAATGAAAAAAATTAGCTTAGATCTCTTGCAAAAAACTTGTGTTCATAAGGAGTTTATGTTACCGTCTTTTAGGTTGATTTGTGAATCCTAACATATCTCTCTAAACTTGTTCTCCAACAGCCTCACTATATTCCTAAAGCCTTACAACATTTCAAATTTCGTAAAAATTGAGTCATACCTCTCCAACCTCTAATCCCATGTTTCCCACTGCTTTTATTAATCTATAGAAAAATTCATAACTTTCTATCCACATCAATAGTGTCCTAAAATCACATTCGTGATTTATCTAACATCCCAACCCTCTGATCAGGTGTAGAAAGTATTTTTTTTATGCATCGCATAAAGTAATTTAAGTTTTTGGAAGGGGCACAAATCAAACTTTTATTATAAAAAATATCAAATAACAGGAGTTTGATGGTATTTATCTATTATATACAAAGACAAATTCGTGAGTCTTTTAAATTCAATCTCGTGACTGGATGTCCTCATCCATTTCCCCCCAAAAGTACACAACCATCTACTGCATGAGGCATCAGTTGGAAATTTATGCATAATTCCTAAGCTTGTCAAAAATTTTTTAAGCATTCCACTAACCTTAACCCATCCTAACAACCTTTAAAGCTTATTATCTATTAATCGCTTGAATTCTTTAATTATGAATGAAATTGTCTATTAAGTTAGATCTTCTTTATATCGACACACAAATAAAGCATCATTGAATTAGTTGTCAAGCACAAGGAATGCTCCTAAGGGCACATCATGAAACCTTTGCGAACAAAATACTCATTAATTATTGAATTTCAAGTTATCGGTGCTAGAGCCTATAAATAGGCCTTTATGGCTTGTAAACCTTCTCTTGTCCTTCAACAATGCCCTAGCGGTTTCAGCATTGACCTCTTCCTTATTATTCTCATTTAGAAATATTGATTTCATGTCCATTTAAAATATCTTCCGTCTCTTTCATCCCAAGTCACGTGTGCAAATACT